ATTTAAGTTGGGAAAGTTTCCTATTTTATTTATTCCCCGTAAGTGTATAAATTTAGAGATTGTACAGCATTATTATGAATAAGAATAATTCTTCAATTCTTCACATGGTATCAGAGCTTTAAGCCTTCTGGGAATTACTCTTTGTTTTTCCGCTTGTTGGCCTTCATTACCCAGTATTTTGTTCAGCCTTCATTGCTGTTTCTTTTTCTCTTCTCTCTAAATTATTTTGATGATTCTAAGTTCTTTGTTCTCCCTTTCTTTGGCCATTCTTATTCTTGATTTAAACACAGCTCTTTTGTGATCTTCCCAATAGCCATGGCAGAAATCATAGACAACACTAACTCCTCTGAGATGCAGAATGTGGAAACAAAATCTGCTTCATCTTTAGGAGAGTTACAGAATCTATAGGCAGCATATAGATTGAATGGAAAGAATTACCTAAAATGGTCACAGCTGGTTAGAACATTCTTGAAAGGGAAAGGCATGATATCATTATTCAAATATTATAGAATTAATATTATTAATAACTGATAAAAATAAATATATGAAATTATTTATGAATTATTATTCTTTTATTTAATTAAAAAATAAAATAAAAAGATAAACTNTCAAATGTGATTAGATTTGGGCCGAGTTTATGGGCCTGTTGCTTTGAGTTATCGGGCAATGGACATTTATCTTTTCCGGCAATATGGGTCAAGATCAATGGTTTCATCATTGCCCAAATATTAGAAAATTAATGACAATAATGGCATCATTTTCCAACAGGCATGTTTTGTCGAACATAAAAATATAAATATGCTACAAATTTTGAATTTAATGATGTATACGAGTCACGTATTCTATAAAATATGTCTGGATGTTTTACTATTCTTATATTTTATTTATATGGATATTATGCATCGTTAAGTTCCTGTTTGTTTCACTTTAAAATAAAATTCTTTAATTTTGACACTCATTTTGAATCATATATTTATATAATAAAATATTTTTCACGTAAATTTAAAAAATTTTCTACTTTTTAATTACACATTCTTAGAAAAAAATCACTATTCAAAACTCTATTTTTCAAAATAATAACCATCGACGGGGTAAGTTTAGAATTCGTAGCATAAATGACAATACTCTTTAAAAATAATGTTAATTAGCATTATTGGTGCTACAATATCAATTTAAGTGACGTTATGTGATAGACTCAATGATAAGTACAATTAAACGAGTCATTTAATTTTACCTTTAATTGAGTAGGAGGCTAGATATCATTATTCAAATATTATAGAACGACATAAAATTGCATTATTGAAACCAAATAACCAATGTCAAACGAATCCAAGTCGCTGACCGTTTGAAAAGTCAAATTACTTGCAAAGTCGTCAAAGTACAACTAGAGCCAACTCAATCTCGAGGTAATTGAGGCTGATGAATTAATATTATTAATAACAGATAAAAATAACTATATGAAATTATTTATGAAATATTATTCTTTTATTGAATTAAAAAATAAAATAAAAAGATAAACTTATATTGGAGATACCAACAACTTTTACGTCAATAGTTGTTGGTCATTGACCTAAGCATCATCGGTGATTATCGACCATATTTAATCGTAGTCGAAGATACATCGATGATAATCAACAATATTATTATTGATAAATCTATTTATCACTTTACATGCATTTGAATCAGGGGCGGATCCAGCACCTGACAAGCCCCCGCGGCCGCCCTAGCTGGATCCGCCAGAGCCTTCAAATCGTCGGGTGGAAGTTGCAAAACAGAACGACTGTGGTGGGGAAACCGGGCGAAGAAGATGACTGCAGGTTTGGAATTGGGCCTAATTCATTTTTATTTTTAGTTTTTCATTATTTGGGCATGCCTTTTTTTAAAAAAAATAGGCCCACTGGCCCCAATTAGGCAAGTTCAGTCCAGTTATATATATATATATGTATTTCCTCTGGCAAGTTTAGTCCAGTTACCAGTGTACCAATTAGGCAATTACCAAACGAAGTGAAGCAGGGCAGAGACGAGAAACAATACGCGCCGCGGCCGGTCATTCTCCATTTCTTCAGCTCTCCTAGCTCGATTTGCGAAGCTGGTCGCGGCGATAGATTGTCAACTATGAACCGAACAGACCTCCTGTGGGCTGTGGCTGCGACTTTGTGAATTGTGGTGAGCGCCCTTTTCCTTCTCGGCTGTCGTTCTCGTTCTCTTTTCTTTTTTTAGTTTTTGTTCTGTGACAAATAAATGAGAATTGTGAATTTGTGATTATGATAAATAATTTGTGTTATCTAGGTGAGTCAGCTCAGTGACTATTATTTTTTTGTTGGTTTTTGTTGTTTTAAATATTTTATGCTTTAATAATTTATGAGATATGAGATATGAGTTTTGATTTACGTGTTATTTGAGAATTTGAGAATATGTCAACTATGAATTGTGATATTAAAAATTAATTTGAGTATTGTGAATATGTGATTTATGAAAATTGAAAATGAGAAATCGGGGAATTTATAATTTGTGATAAATTGGTGTTGGAAATTGGAAATTGAAACTTTAATTATATTTTAAAATTAATTTTAGTTACGTTATCTTTGATTAACATTCAACTCTAATGCTAATTATAGAATGATTTTTCTCAACCTAAACAAAAGTCACAACCTAGTTCTTGTAGTGGTGCATATCAGGCAACTACTTTAAGTCGAGCAAAAGATTTGTTAATCATTGATAAATGATAACACAAGGAAGTATCA